TTGTGTGTGTGGATCATTTTTCTAGATTTGTGGTTTAGTCCCACTAAAGGATAAAACAGCCGAATCTGTGGCCTATGCCTTAGTGATGAATCTAATATGTCCATATACTACACCTAAAGTTCTTCTCTCAGACAATGGAACAGAGTTCAAGAATCAGCTAGTAGCACAAATATGTGCCCCAATATGGAATACAAAAAAGTTTTGTGACAGCCTATCATCCACAGGCTAATGGCCTTGTTGAGAGAGCCAATCGCAAGATCCTAGAGATACTTCGCCCGATTGTGTGTGATTTGCAATACACATGGGAGGATTGGTTACCGCAAGTTGCAGCATCTATTAATGAGTCGATTAATAGCTCTACAGGCAAATCACCCTACTACATTGTCTATGGTACAGATAAGCGTCTGCCTTATGATGTACTTACAGATAAGCCTGGCCCTGTTTATAATATGGATGATTTCGCGGCAAAACAAATCCGTGTTTTTACGGATATTCATGGCCAAGTAAGAACACATTTAGCGGCGTCTCGTGCTGAAATGATTATGAAGCAACATCAACAAGCTAAACCTGTCATGTTACAGATAGGCGATGCTGTTATGGTGAGAGAACCTGAACGGAACTCCAAACTTTCGGCAAAATTTTCGGGTCCATTCCGCATTATTGCCAAAGAAGCAGGCCACAAATTTAAAATTTGGAAGCCTAATGCACAGATCGCAGATGTCGTGCATGCGGATCATCTTAAGAAGACCCATGAACATTTACTACCCACAGATGGTAATAATGTTATAGACACCTCTTTGCAGACAGTACAGAAGCAGAGTGTGCCTAATGAGTATTGTATAAAACTTCGTCCTGCAAGCAAATATTAAAACGAATAAAAATTTCTTACAGAATGGCTTGGATCATCAGTGTGCTGCTCCTAATGCTTTGTGGCACCGTTGTGTTGACAGATATGTCCACAGAAGTCCTCAAGCCTGGTGCGCTTGTTGCACCCCTTGGACGCGTTCTCATTGTAGAGGACGTGGTGAACATAAAGCATGAGTTGCAAGGACTGCTCAAGCTTCCCCGTCAGATGGAAACCGTCGACGCTCAACTACAGACAGCACTGACAGTCCTTGATGATCTCCGTTCTACTCCTAATATTTCGACAATGGTTTCACAAACTGTTAAGCTTCAGCTGCTTCGTCTCAAAACCCTTCACAAGCTTCTCGTCGCTGTCGGAAAAACAATACCAGCGTCTCAGGATGAACTTGCAAAGGAAGTGTGTTCTCAAACAAGAAGAAAGTGAGGATTGTTTAATTTTGTCAGTCTTATCCAAAGCACTCTGTTTGGCACAGCGACTGCCGATGATGTAGCTAAGTTAGGGGACCGCATGAACATTGTCGATCAAGCTGTATCTAAGCAAAATCATGTTATATCTCAAACGTTCCATGCAATTAGTGCTTTGGAATTGAAAGTTAATGCGATAATTTTGGAGTCTAACCATATACCTAGGGTTGTGTATAAGTTACAGAATTCAGTCCCTACGTTGGAGTGGATCCCTTATTTCTCTGAATATTTGCATGCTGCGGATATAGTTACGAATAAAAATGAACTAATAGACAGCATCGTGGATGCAGGGTTAGGGCGTGTGGATGCAAAACTTGTGCCTGTGAAGACTCTTCTTGAAGCATTGCAGATTGCCAAGTTGACCTATCATTTAACTCCAATTTTCAAGGATCATGAGGTGGAATACTATTATACTCTGTTGGAGTCAACTCTCACGCACAATGCTATCCTTATCCACATACCTATGCTAGGGCAGCATAAATTTAATGCAAGGCATTTAGAACCCTTCCCTTGGTATGTACATTAAATGACACACTGTATACTCTGGATAGGTCAAAAGAACTTTTGCTTGTAGATGAAGAATATTCCTTGTTAGCATTAGATGATCCTAGGGTATTATCGCGGTGTAAGTCGTCATATTTACATTTACACGTATGTCCAGCCTATGTCTTCGCATTTATTCCTGCTGCAGAAGGGATATGTGAATTGGCAGTCATACAAACTAAAGTATGCACAGCGCTAACACAATGTAGCTTTAGGCCAGTTAGTGGAAAAACTGTGCTTCACGCTCATCTGCATAATGTGCAGTATTTTTTCTTTCCTAATGAGACTACAGTGGTCCCTCGGTTAACGAACACAATTCATTCCAGAAACCATTGTTTCAATGGGATTTTGGGTAATTGGTTCCAGCTCACCGAAAATTACATACAAACTAAAAATAAATGCTGTAAAGTACACTTACTTTGAGGTGTGCATGTAGAAGGCTCCTGGTTGATGATGATGATGATGGTGGGAATTAGAATGGGGGTGGAGGAGAAGGGAGAAGAGAAGGCATTGGGGTGGAAGAGAAGTCACCCCATGCCGCCATTTCACCCATAAAATTTTAGTTCACTTGGTGCAATTCAAGATTATTTTCTTTAAATCAACACTGCACTGCATTATATATTGTCAATATGTAAAATATATTTCAAAATGTCTAATAATTTGACTGGAAACACAGAAAAAAAGTGTTTATGTTGAAGAGTCTCAAACAAGATGTTCCTTCCTCTGAACTGGTAAACAAACTGACGCCTGATTGGTGTGTTGAGTGGCTGGATGGCGCGCAAAAAACTAGTTTCCTTACTTCAATTATGTTCAATAATTGTAAAATTACTAAAAAATATTAATACAAAACTTTTAAAATTATCTGAATAGTACAACCTTCTTGATATTTACAAAAATGTGTTAAAAGGAATTTTGAAAGTTCCCTAAAACCGTATTACTGTAGCTTGTGCAAGCGACTAACTGTCGTTACGAAGCGTTGGATGGGCAGCCAAATTGTCCAGGTGGTAACTGTACTGGGAAAAATTCGTAAGGAATTCGTTAACCGAGGGTTTGCTCGTTAACCAAAGTGAAGAATCTTATGAAAGGTAATTCGTTAACCAAAGGATCACTGTATTTATGGATTTATTTGCGATATATCATTATTAATCGAACATTCGTGTGAGCCATTGAGCTGCAAATGAGGTGCCCAGGGTTTTTTAGTTTATCACCATAAAAAAAAAAAAAACGACAATAGTTTAACTTATTATTATCGTCATTATTATTATGGAGATTACAATAAGCGCATTCACCATGATTTAGGAGTTTATTGATGGAGTCCAGAAAAGACTGGGTACAGTACACATTTCAGGTCCACTCTGTTTTGGCACTGTGATGATACAGTATGTCCTTGCTTAACGTTGGCCCGCCTAACGTTGTTTCATTACTACGTCACTAAACTTTAGAGACCAAATATTCGTTTAATTTCCCGGTGACTCGGCACAACGTCGTTTTGCATCGTCATGGACTACTTTTTACGGCGCATCACCCTCTCTCATCTGGCCGTGGAACGTCACGGCGTCCCCAAGCGACGCAAGTCTTTATTAGGCTTCCACAGTGTTCGTGCGTGTTTTAGTGTTTTTGCTCTTAATACTGCACTGTAACCATTCGAAATGGCTTCCAAGCACCCATCAAGTGCTACTGATGCTAGTGTTGTGAAAAAGCAAAGCAAGACCATAAGCCTTGCTACGAAAATGGAGGTTTTAAACTGTTTTGAGAGGGTGGAGGAGCTACCCGCCGGGTCTCAGTGAATCGCCACCCTCCTGGCTCACGCCATACTCCTCCCCTCCCACCATCCGCCTCCACCGCTTCAGTACCCACCACACACTCGCTCTACCATCTCCCCCCATTGGTGAGTACAATACCAACTTGGTAGTTGTATATGCATGCACTGTTTTCTATAGAAATGGCAATGATTTTCTGTATATGTAATGTATTTCATGGGGCAAAGGGAGGCTGAGGAACGTAACTCCCGGATTTGATCTATATTTCTTATGGGGAAAATCGATCCGCTTAACGTTGTTTCATATAACGTCGTATTTTCAGGAACGTAACCCAGACGTTAAGCGAAAACCTACTGTATCACATTAATTTCAATATTCACTGGGGTTCAGGATCTTGTGGATAAGGGTGCTTCATCTCAAAGGGTTGTGCATTATGTAATACCTGAAGTTTGGGGATTTGAGACTGAAATTTGGGATTTAATGTTTCAACTTAAACAGAAAGGATTCACCATAATGTGAACATTGAGTTGATACTGTCCCAAATTATAACTTAAATTTTCTATTGGTTCCTGCTCTGTGGAACTTCAGCTGATTGGTCATTCATGTCCCAGAATGTGGTATAAAAGGACAAGGGAGAGGAGAGAAAGGGAGAACTGATGGCTGGAGCAACACCAATTTCACGAGGAATGGAAGGAGTCATCACTAGCCCCACCACACACCACGTGGTCATCACTCTAGCCCAACATGCAATTGTTACCAACACCAAGGAACTGTACGTAACTTCTCACCACCAGACCACAACAGATATTGACAGTGTCTATGAGGAAGTGTGGACTGATGGTAATTACATGACTGTGGTAATTATGTAACTGTAGACTGATGGTGATTATGTGACGGTGGATTGTGAGACAAAGGTGACGTCTGCAGTGTTATAGTGATGAACCTGTTTATGAGGAAGTGTGGTCTAATGGTGATTACGTGATGGTGGATTGTAAGACAATCGTGATGTCTGCAGGATTATAGTGGTTAGAAGACGACAGTGAAGAAAGGGTGACATTCTGTCACTTGTATTACACGTGAAGATTAATGCATCATGTTAAATTATATTAGATTGCTTTATTAAAATTATATGGAAAATTGCTTGTCTAATTTTTCGTGGGTCTTACATTCAATACATGAAAACAGCCTCAAATTTCACATAATAGCAGAGAAATCAAAATCTGGGGGTTCCTTAAAGGAATATCCTCACAGGCACCACGTTATAAAAAGGAATAAATATGTAGTGCATTTATAAATATGCTTCTGTCATGATAGTTAAAGTTTAACTTGTAAAACCAGAACTTCTAAACATTCCATGGGAACACTTACCGCTGTAGGACCTTATCAAAGTACTGCATTGTGTTCCTAGTCTTACTCTCACGACCAGCAGTAAGCTCAACCCAGCCTTTCAGCACCAAACCATCTTCATGCTCAGGATTCATTTTCAACATACGATCCACATACTCTCGAGACTTGTCAACTTTTCCAGAGAAAAGAAGGAACATACCAGCATAATACAGAGGCTGAAAGGTATAGAAAATCAAAGATAAGTAATGGTAAGTACAATATAGACTGCTACACAAAACTCCTGCACACTTGATAGTACAGTATCTGGCATGTAAGTACTTGAGGATCATCATATGAAGGGATTGGAATGTTAACATACAGTACCATTACCGGTACAAAATTTTTTGTCGAATACAAACAATAGCATGTTTACATTCAAATTAATCACTATCTTATAAGAATTCCAGCAATGTAAATTATATTTTCCCCGGTCACTTCTATGACATTTTATAATAAAAAACAAAAACTCAATCTAAAGGACACAAAAAAACAAATAAATACAGCTACCCCCCAACTTACGACCTACTTGAATTACAACCACCCAGACATATGACCGCCTCAGTCGTACCAAAATTTTGTCAAATTACGTATTTTCGAGTCCCAACATCAGTGATTGAGCTGTGAACTGACAAAATTTTAGTTTGTAATTCACTTTAAAATGGCTGGCATGCTTAAAAGTGAGAGTTTTGTGGTGCTGAGATAAAAAAGAGACACCCATTTTAGATTTTCTATGTATTATTCAAATATTTTCGACTTACGACCATTTTGACTTACGTCCTGGACTTGGGTCCCTAACCCCCATCGTAAGTCAGGGAGCAGCTGTACTTCACTCGACCTTCGGCGCCAACTGTCAAACATGACACTGTCACCTACCCTTCCCCCCTCCCTCCCTCCCAGCCAGTGTTTGGTGGTTATACAGTAGGCTTTAAGTTTTTATCTTATATACAGCTAATCCTCGACTTACGACCTACTCGACATACGACCACACACGCATACAACCGCCGCTGTCGGTACCAAAAATTTTTCTAATGACACGCGTATTTTCTAGGACCAAAACGTTTCCGTCCCGTACGAGAGCGTCGCATGAGCTGGGTCGCCTCGTGGCTACAGCACCCACGCCGTAGAGTGCTCAGTTGGTGTTTGGCTGTCATTGTTGTCGGTAGTGATCGCGCTGTGTACTGACAATATTTTCGTTTGTAATTCACTTTAGAATGACTGGCAAGCGTAGAAGTGAGAGTTCTGGTGCTGCTCAGAAGAAAAGGAGACAGTCAATTACTTTTGAGATGAAAATGAAATATTAATAATGCAATATGAAAATGGAAAAACGGTAGCAACCATTTCATGCGACCTTGGCGTCTCTCACTTGACGATATCTACAATTTTGAAGGACAAGTAACGAATTCGTGAAGTAGTGAAATGATCAGCATCTATAAAGGGAACAATACTAAAATAAAAAAGACAAGGTCCTATTCATGAGATGGAAAAATTACTTGTGATATGGATGGAAGATCAGATACCAAAGTATGTACCCTTAAGCCTTCTAACCCTACAGGCTAAAGCAAAAAGCCTTTTCGAAGGCCTGAAGGAGCCGGAAGGAGATGAGTGCGACCAAAACTTAACAGCAAGTCATGGGTGGTTCCAAAGGTTTAAGAACCGTTACAGTTTGCAAAGTGTAAAGGTGAGTGGAGAGGCAGCAAGTGCTGATGTGGGTGCTGCCAAAGCTTTTAAGGAGGAGCTCGATTGTGTTATCGTGGAGGGAAATTATTTGCCTGAGCAAATATTTAATGTGGATGAAACTGGCTTATTCTGGAAGCGCATGCCAGAATGGACATACATCCACAAAGAGGAGAAAACCATGCCGGGATTTAAGGCATTCAAGGACCGAATCACACTTCTGTTGGTGGAATGTAGCTGGTTTCAAGATAAAGCCCTTCATGATACAGGGTATATCATTCAATTCAAAGAACCCCAGGGCTTTTAAAAATGTCAGCAAGCACACACTGCCAGTGTTTTATCGCAGTACAATAAGAAAGCATGGATGACCCTAGTACTGTTTGAGGATTGGTTCCTGACTTGTTTCATTCCACGAGCCAAGGAGTATTGTCTGCAGCAAGGGATTGCATTCAAGATTTGTTTAATTTTGGATAATGCTCCAGGACACCCACCACACCTGAACGACCTGCACCCTCATGTTGAGGCAGTCTACATTCCACCTAACACTACCTCTATCATTCAACCCATGGATCAAGGTGCTATTGCTGCTTTTAAAGCGCATTATTTACGCACGACCTTCGCTCAAGCTGTTGCTGCTACTGAAGGCAAGAAAACGCTCAGAGAGTTTTGGAAGGACTACAATATTTTGAAATGTATAAAGAACATTGCTGCAGCATGGGATGAGGTTACAGGTCAGTGCATGAATGGAATATGGAAGAAAGTCCTGAAAAGATATGTGAACAGTTTCGAAGGATTTAATGAAGATGAAGCTATTTCTGAGATTAGTAACACGATAGTGCAGTTGGGTAAACATCTGGAGTTAGAAATTGATAATGAAGATGTTGAGCAGTTGGTTGAAAGTGTAGCAGAAGAGCTAAGTAATGAGGATCTTATTGAACTGGATGCACAGAAAATTGCAGAGGAAGAAGAGAGTCAAAATGTAGAAGAACCTGCACCCCCCAAAAAATTTTCAGTGAAACAAATGGCAGAGGCATTTGCTACAATTAATAAGGGGATGCAAATGTTTGACGAAATGGATCAAAATGTTGAGCGTTTTGCAAAAGTTGACAGAATGATCCAAGATGCACTTGCTTGCCACAGGGAAATTTACAATGAAAAGAAAAGGCAAACTGTGCAGTCTAAATTGGACATACTGTATATTTTAAGAAGTCCCCCATTGCTGTCTCCTCACGCCCCACCAGTGCTGCCTCTTCACTCCCTAAAGATGATCCAATCCCTTCAACAAGCAAGTATCCCCTGTATGTTAACCTATCTGAAGAAAGCGACATTGATGACCCACCCAGCCCTGTCTCCCCCTCTGCTTCATCCAATTACAGTATTACCCCGCCTAACGCGGTTTCACTTAACGCGTTTTATCATATACGCGGTGCCTCGCCAGAGCTGAACTTTCACTTAACACGGATTTTTTCCACATATACGCGGTGAGTGTCCGGCTCGAGACGCTATTTTTAGATTTGCCCCACCCGCCACCCTGCCTGACTGCCTGTTTTAGCTCATAAAATTCATACAAATTACCCGGCCAGAATATAATTTACATTGCTGGAATTCTTATAATTTGGTGATCATTTTGAAAATAAACATCATATATTTTCCATTAGACATACAAATTTAGATAAAAAATTTTCTCAGAGTAACTATGTTATCTTTTGTGCAAAATATATGACATTTATATTCAAAATATTCCTGGTCTTACAAGGAATCCAGCAATGTCAATTATATTATCCTAACTTTAGTTTGAGGTATCATTTATTAAAATTTAGTGGTTATCCCACACATCTCCTTGGGACGGTTGGTGGGGGGGTGGGGGGGAGGGAGGGACCGACCGACCATCTGTTACCCTGTGAAGAATTATTATTTTTTTATTAACTGAAGATATTTGTTTTAGCTCATAAAATTCATACAAATTACCCGGTCAGAATATAATTTACATTGCTGGAATTCTTATAATTTGGTGATCATTTTGAATATAAACATCATATATTTTGCATTAAACATACAAATTTTAGATAAAAATTTTTCTCTAGGTAACTATGTTATCTTTTGTGCAAAATATATGACATTTATATTCAAAATATTCCTGGTCTTACAAGGAATCCAGCAATGTCAATTGTATTATCCTAACTTTAGTTTGAGGTATTATTTATTAAAATTTAGTGGTTTTCCCCCAAAAATTTCTCTGAGAGGGAAGAGCCAGCGAGTGTAGTGTGAGAAGAGGGGGAGGGAGTTGAGTCCATTACTTGAATGGACATTAACTTGGCGACTGTATTTCTCTATTTCTCTTAAGTATTAATTGTGTGCATGTACCATCATAAAATTAAGATGTTATTTTTACTACAACATAGGTATGTGCCTTCAAAAAGTGGAGTTTGGGGGTCGGGCCGGTTTCTATTGGAATTAATCCCATATGTTCTGTTGTTCACTTAACGCGGATTTCACTTAACACGGGACCCTCTGGGTTCAATTGACCGCGTTAAGTGGGGTACAACTGTATACAGTTTTGCAACTGTATTTTTGGGTAGATTTACATAAATTTCTTCATTTATTTTTATTCATTTACATGCACACACCATACTAAAAGAAAAGTAAAAGAAATAAATGACCTAAGTGCCAATCTGTACTGTACATGTACGAAATGATTACGGAACTAACATTTTTATGTCGAATGTAAATTATAGCTTGTTTATATTCAAATTATTCACTATCTTACAAGAATTTCAGCAATGTAAATTATATTATCCCAGGTCATTTCAGTGGCATTTTATAAGAGAAAAGCTTAGTCACTCTTAAGGACTGATAAATAAACACACATTAGACATTCGGCGCCAACTGTCAAACATATCACCTCACCTCCCCCTCCCTCCCTCTCCCCCATCTGCCCAGCCAGGGTTTTAGGCTTACAGTTTTTATCTTATATAATATCACAGACTACGGTTAGGAAAATATAATTTGCATTGCTGGAATCTTTGCAAGACAGCGAATAATTTGAATATAAACGTCATATATTTTGCACAAGAGATAAAAATTAATCACCTGTATCACATTACAGGATTGATTTAAGAGTTCTAGTGTATATGTACGTATATATACAGTACTGCATAGTGATTTCGGGCCATTTAGGGGAATTTTAGGAGTGTTTCTGACTTTATGCATTATTTGGCTATACAGCTAGAGCCCGACTTACGACTACGTGGACTTACGTCCATTGGTACTTACGACCTGCTTTGACCGTACGTCCATACGGGACATACAACTGCGACCGTCGTGACCAAAAATTTTTTCAAATGACGCGCGCATTTTCTATACCGAAACGTTTCCGTCCCGGGCGAGAGGGAGGGGTGTCTTGGGTCGCCTCGTGGGTACACTCACTCAGTGGAGCGCTTTGTTTGTGTTTGGCTATCGTATCCTATACTGATCGCGCTGTGAACTTTCGTTATTATCGTAT